CTATGTTGGCAATATATGTCTCCCATGCATTCGCGTCTGTCCCATTCCGCCTGCTGAGCCCGCAGAGTCTCATAATACTGTCGATGGACCTCCGGCTCTATCTTTGCGAAGCCCTCCGGTTTTAAATACAGGAGGAGAAGCTTTTTAACTTCAGCGCCCGTAGGACGCCATGCTTTGCAAAAGGCCAGAAATGCGTCTGCCATCACCTCCTCGGTGTGGAGGAGGCCAGTCTTTAACAGAGTCTTTCATCTCCTGGTCCATTTGACGCAGAACCAGAACGGGGGTTCCTTGTGGGCCGGGGTATTCGATCATAGGTGCTTGTAAAGTCTTTCCATCCTCTCAGCGTCATGCCATTGTCATTTAGAGTGATTTTGCCCAGACCATGTGTCACAGAGTGGGTTGGAGAAGAAGCAGCCTCTCTGTGACCTGCTCCAGACAGGAGGGGAGGGGCTGATGCAGAGGCTTCTGGCGGTGAGAGGAGCAGCGGAGGGGGGGCTGCTGCCGCTGCTGCTGCTGCTCCTGCTGCTTCTGGTTGATACTGGGGGGGTGAAAGAGCGGGGGTGTACAGCGGTGCCCAATCGTCTCTTGAGTTCCGACGTCCATACTGATGTGGGCTCCGAGTTGGTGGAATGCTCGAAAAAAAAAGCAGATGGAGAATGATCAGTTGCAGATTCTAAATTTTCTATAGAGTCAGACTTTTTCTGTCTGCCGTCCCTAAACTTTGCCTCTGCCATCCACACATTCAGCCACCGTTTGTTCTCATCCAGACAGTTCAGGTCCTTTCACACGCACAGTCTTCCCTTTTCCTCAATAGAGCCTCTCTTTCATCCAATTGTGATTTGATTTTGTTCAACTGGCTTAGGCTGAAGGACCCACTTTTGGGAAAGCCCAATTCAGCCACCCCACATTTCAACGCTGTCCTAAATTCATCACCATGTTTCTTTCTCATCAAAGTCATGCATGGTGATTCCCAGACTGGTGACTCTGTGCCTTTCCTTCTAAGCCACATGGCTGGAATCTGAGACTCTAACTCAGATATTACAAACAGAGACTCGAACTCTGCCCAGGACTCAAACCCAGGATTTATCAGCAAACAGGACTTGAACCTTTTGCACAAAACAGGACTCTAACCTGTTCTACAACGAGGGACTCGAACCCCCGACTAAGACTTGAACTTAGATTTTAGACAGACTCTAACCTGTGTCACAACTGAAGACTCTAACTTCAGCCTAAGACTCTAACTTAGGATTTATTTCCAACAGCCTGGATTAGAATGAACAGCTCCGTCACCAGCCTGCCCTCCCACATGCATTCACAGTGCACCTACAAGTACCCTCGGATTCACCACTGAAGCACAGAAGTCAAATATCAAACAATTTACCGTTTGTTCGTGTGAAAATCCCGAGAGGCGACGGTTGAAACCCAGCACGTCCGGTCAGTCCGCCCGTCCAGAGTTATGGGAAAGCGACGAGATTGGTTTGAATCCCGGGTGATCAGTCCCCCGAGCCGGACCCGTGTGTTCAACGGTCAGCCTTCGAGACCACTTCTGACACCAAAATTTGATTGAGAGCTCCTTTGTCTGAATCACACTGTGGGTTGCACCAGAGTCGACTAAAAAAGTGATCGGTTTACCCTCAATTTCACAAACAATAGTTGGCATTTTCCTGTAAGCTTCATTTTCATAAGCTAAGTAGGTCCCTGTTTTGGGCCTGTCACCGGTCCTCTAACTCCCTAATTCTATCCTCAATTAAGCCAAGCAGTGAATCAGTAGCAAGCGCGTCTTCGTTGCCGTTAGCAGTTAAAGAGTGTGTGCATTACTCATCTGTACAGTTGCTGTCTCGGGCCCCACATCAATATGTCAATCTGAAGAAAATCTCTGCTGGTCCCCCGGTCTCGCACCCCGTCCACGTCCACTCCAGCGTCCCGCATCTCGGCGTGGCTGGGGACAGTCACGATTCTAATGTCCAATTTCACCACAGATGAAACATTTGTCTTGGTCGTCGTGGTCACGATCAAATGTCCGTTGCCACCTCTTCTCCGTCCTCTACCTCCAGTGCTATACAAATAAACTTGAACTTTCAGTTCAGTTAAGATTGTTTGAGCTCAGAGCAACCAAACAGTTGATGCAACAAAAAAGACAATTTGAAGTAAAAAAACAAACGTATCAACGCCAACTCCTTATCAAATGCTATGTGTACTGGGTGCAGCTCTGACTGCCACTCCCCCGACCCAGAAATGGATTAAGGGGAAGAAAATGGATGGATGGATGGATGTTCTTCTTACTTCTACCCCTCCTTCCAGCAAGAAGGGGTTCTGGTGCTGTTCGGTGGTCGTTATGAAATTGAGCAGCATTTTGAACTGAACCAGAGCGTTCTCATCACTTCAGATCAGTTTCAGCGCCTGGGAATTATGGATTTTTGGTGCAGAGCATTACTAATTCATGCACAGAGGGTAGAGGCTGGAACCTGACCCCGATCGATGTGAGCGACCTTGGAGTTTACCCACTACTCCCCGCTCTTCACCACAACGGTCCGATACAGCGACCGCATCACTGCGCACGCTGCACCGATCCGCCTGTCAATCTCACGCTCCATCCTTCCCTCACTCGTGAACAAGACTCCGAGATACTTGAACTCCTCCACTTGAGGAAGGACCTCTCCACCCACCTGTAGAGGGCAAGGCACCTTTTTCCGGTCGAGCACCATGGCCTCGGACTTTGGGGTGCTGATTCTCATCCCAGCCGCTTCACACTCGGCTGCAAGCCGTCCCAGTGCATGTTGCAGGTCCTGGTTCGTTGAGATAAAATCCTGTGGTCCCTGAACCGGACCCTGGCTGCGCCTAGAAATTCTGTCCATAAACACAGTGAACAGAACCGGTGACAAAGGGCAGCCTTGGCGGAGGCCAACATGCACCGGGAACAGGTCTGACTTACTGCCGGCAATGCAAACGCAGCTCTGGCTCTGGTCATACAGGGACCGAACGCCTTCTCCAAATACACAAGCACTTAGAGCGTATAGAGCTGAGTGTTCCGCGACCGGGAACGAAAACCCACACTGCTCCTCCTGAATCCGAGATTTGACCATCGGCCGTGAGCCTACTCTCCAGCCTTTGAGTAGACCTTGCCGGGGAGGCTGAGGAGTGTGATCCCACGAATAATTGGAACACACCCTACGATCTGCCACTCCATTGGCACCAGGGAAGGCCTCCGATCGCCCAAGCAATGTTGCAGAGACATGTCAGCCAAGACAGTCCTACATCATCCAGAGACTTTAGTTGAGTTGAGGCAGGAAACGTCCTGACTAGATAGTCAGGACGGATCTCATACCACTCCCGGCAACCGCAAGCCTCCCGCGACCTAGCCACCCATGGAGGCTGCCAACCACCTTGGTGACTTCAGCCAGGAGAGATGGAAGTAACTCGCCCCAACATCCTCACCCTCTGCCTCCTGGACTGAGGTCGTGACGGGGGGGATTGAGAAGAACCTCGAAGTATTCCTTCCACCGCCCGACAATATCGACCCCATTCGAGGTCTGCAGCTCTCCACCCGCACTATACACGGTGTTGGCAAAGAACTGCTTCCCCCTCCTGAGGCGCCGGACGGTTTGCCAGAACCTTTTTGAGGCCGACCGATAGTCATGCTCCATGGACTCTCCGAACTCCTCCCAGTCCCGGGTTTTTGCCTCTGCAACAGCCCGGACCGCGGCACGCTTGGCCTGCCGGTACTGGACAGGTGCCTCAGGAGTCCCACGAACCATCATTGCTCGATAGGACTCCTTCTTCAGCCTGACGGCATCCCTTACTGCCGGTGTCCACCACCGGGTTCGGGGATTGCTGCCGGGACCAGCACCAGAGACCTTGCGACCGCAGCTACATGCCGCCGCAATGTCCCCCTCCTCTGCCGGGACCTGGGAGAAGCTCTCCCGGAGGTGTGAGTTGAAAGTCCGTCTGACAGAGGGCTCAGCGAGACGTTCCCAGCAAACCCTCACTACACGCTTGGGCCTGCCAGGTCTGACCGGCTTCTTCCCCTGCCAGCGGATCCAACTCACAACCAGGTGATGATCGGTTGACAGCTCCGCCCCTCTCTTCACCCGAGTGTCCGAGACTGTTATGGGCCTTGTGGTTTGTACTTTTCCTTGCCTCCACCCCCTTCAGCTCTGTGCCTCCTCCGCACCACCCATTGGCTGATGATCGGCACCTGCTGGATGCCAATCAGCCCAGGCCTAAAAGGCCCCTGGCCCAGATGAGGGCTGACGTCTGCGTCCTACGCTGCACCTTTGTTTCTGCACATTTCTGCTAGTAGTTTATTTGTTTATTATGAGATCCTGAGTTTTGTGTAATAAACCTATTATTTTTTACTCCTAATCTATGACCTCTCACCTTCATCCTTCGTCATCCCACACCCGGTTATTCACTATATACGTTACGTGCTACCCTGGACATTCTGGCACGTAATAGTTGGGGGCTCGTCCGGGATCCTGACGTTGTACCAGGGGCTGTGAGTGTTCGTGGGTGCGTGCGCTCTGGGTGAGTTGAGCTGTGTATGGGCGCTTGCTCAGCCACTATACATTGGTGACCCAGCTAGACTAGGGGGGTGTCCAGCTTGGCCGATTTACTCGTCATTCCTTCGGGCATCCGTTTTTTGTTTTAGTTTGTTATTTTCGGGGCGAATCCCGGGCGGAGTGAATTCTCTGGCGGGGGCTGCACGCCTCGAGCTCGGCAAACCCCAGAAGACAGTTAGGCGTAGAGTTTCCTGGTTAGGAGTCTGGGTACCATTTGTTTAAACTGGTTTGGGTTTCTATGTGATCAGTGCGCCCTGCGTGAGCTCGTCTTTTTGTCCCTGGCGTGTGTGTGGGAGTGTGTGTGTGGGTTGCGCGCGGCTGTGTCAGAAGCGCGCGCACGGCACATTCCTGGTGGAGTGTGGATTGGCAAAGTGTCAGCAGGTGTAGCCTGGCCGTGAGTGGGATCGGCTGTGGCCTGGATTGGTGATTTTGGTGAGTGATATGACTACGTTTGACTTGGGTGCTTTCGTGGCTGAGCCAACTAGTGATGTGTTGGATTCGTGTAGAAAAGTTGACTTATTGGAGATTGCCCGGCACTATGAAATCCCCGTGTCTGTTACATTGCGCGTGGGAGAGTTAAGGGAGGCTGTGTTGGCAGGTTTGGTTGCCAGTGAAGTTTTGGTTTTGCCCAAGTCGAGCAATCTGGAACAAGGAGTGACCGCGGGAGGCGCAGTGGCGTCCCCCGTGCGTCTTGGGGAGAGCGCGGATTCCCCACAGCCACCGGTGGGCTCTCCAGAGGTTTTGTTTGGGGAGGCTGAGGAAAAGGTTCGTGTCTTGTCTCCTACTTTGAGTGTGCATTCTCCTCGTGATGTTGTCAGTATCGGACAGTTTGAACTATGACTGTCTGAAAAGTGCTATTTTGCGTGCGTATGAGCTGGTGCCCGAGGCCTATAGGCAGCGTTTTAGAGGGCTTCGAAAATCACATAACCAGAGTTTTGTGGATTTTGCCCGTGAGAAGGGGCTGCTGTTTGACAGGTGGTGCTCTGCAAGTAAAGCGGGTACTTTTGAGGCGCTGCGGGAACTATTTCTTATTGAAGAATTTAAGAACTGTCTTTCTGAGCGCCTTATTGTGTACTTAAATGAACAAAAAGTGGCCACGCTCCAGCAGGCGGCTGTTTTAGCTGATGAGTTCTCTCTCACCCACAAGGCTGTTTTTAAGCGTGACCCCTTTCCCATGTCTGAGGAGAGGATCCCCGTTAGTCCTGCGACTACTTCAAGGCCTGAGCGGACAAAGCTGTGTTTCTTTTGTCATAAAAGTGGTCATATCGTCGCGGATTGTGACGCTTTAAAGCGCAAACAGCAGCCCACATCTAAACCGAAAGGTGTAGCGCTTATCAAGACGATCCCAGCTGCTATTCATACTAAAGTGAGGCCTGTTTGTTCTCCAATTTCAGAGTGCGATGACTGTTTTAAGCCCTTCATTTTTGAGGCGTTTGTTTCCGTCCCAGGGGAGGTTAAGCATTCTGTTAAAGTTTTGCGTGACACGGGTGGCTCCCAGTCGTTTATTCTCTCGGGTGTCCTGCCTCTGGGCCCGCAGACAGACTGTCATCTAAGCACAGTAGTGAAGGGGATCGGCCTTAGTTATGTGCCCGCACCACTGCATAATGTCTACATTGAGTCAAACTTGGTTAGTGGAGTTTTCCCTGTCGCTGTGCGCGACCAGGTTCCTATTGACGGGGTGGAGTTTATTATGGGGAAGGATATCGCAGGTGGGGAAGTGTATCCCTCTCCGGAAGTGGTTTCTCGCCCCATTCTCAGCACTGGGAAGGATGAAGTGGCTGAGGAACACCCCGAGATGTCTTCAGGGTGTGTGTTGACCCGCGCCCAGTCTAATAAGTTGGCAGAGGAACGGGGTGATGTTGATCTGTGTGATTCTGTGCTTGCTCCTGTCTTCTCCGGTGTTCGTGCGCCCCCGTGTGGACGACCTGATGACCACGCCAGGACGATGGCCAGCCGTGGGAAGTCAACCACCGCTATGTCCCCTCCACTCACCAGTGACGCCTTGATTGGAGCTCAAAAGTTCGGTCGCAGGTCCATGTTGCTGGTGTCTCTGGTCCTGTCCACTGTGATGAGTGCAGCGTCTGCCTTCTCCACGTCTTACGTCATGTTCGCCGTGACCCGAGCGCTCAGCGGCGCCGCCCTCAGCGGACTGTCAATCATCGGAGTCGTCCTGGGTATTGAGTGGACGGATGTGAAACACAAGACGTTCACTGGGACCGTGAGGAGTCTGTCCTGGAGTGCGGGGAGCATGGTCCTCGCTCTGATGGCGTTTCTGGTCCGAGACTGGAGACACCTGACCATCGCTGTGACTGCACCCTGTGTCCTGGGCCTGCTCTGCTGCTGGTGGCTTCCAGAGTCTGCTCGCTGGCTCCTGGCGAACGGCAGGACAGAGGACGCTCGTCGGTTTCTGGTGCGATGTCTGGTGCGTCCTCAGTCGCGAGACTGAGGACATCCATCACCGCTTGAGTCGCAAGTGGTGATGGGCAGCCATATCCTTTTCCATGGCAGACCGACATGTGAATGATGATGTGATATTGTATATAAGTGATATTGTAGCCGGTGGGTTTTGTACTGTGTACTTGTTTAATTTTGGTTAATTGACCTCTCTAGTTTTAGCCTTCTGGGGGTTTTGTTTTATGGGGGGAGGTGTTATGGGCCTTGTGGTTGTTGGTTTGTACTTTTCCTTGCCTCCACCCCCTTCAGCTCTGTGCCTCCTCCGCACCACCCATTGGCTGATGATCGGCACCTGCTGGATGCCAATCAGCCCAGGCCTAAAAGGCCCCTGGCCCAGATGAGGGCCGACGTCTGCGTCCTACGCTGCACCTTTGTTTAATCACATTTCTGCTAGTGGATTATTTGTTTATTATAAGTTCCTGAGTTTTGTTATAATAAACCTATTCTTTGTTACTCCTTATCTACGACCTCCCACCTTTTTCCTTCGTCATCCCACACCCGGTTATTCACTATTATGTTACGTGCTACCCTGGACAATCTGGCACGTAATACCTGGTCTTCCAACAGTCTTGAAGGAGTTCCCAGAGATGCTTAGCACTTGTTTGCCCTTTCGCCTTCACTCTGTGGTTCCGCTCACCCCAAAACCATCTGGATTGGGTTCAGTTCCGGTGAGGCCAGGTCATCTGGCCCAGCACCCATAACTCTCCTCAAATAGCACTTACACAGCCTAGGTGTGAATCTACAGTCAAGAATCATGAAAAGAAAGGAAATTCATTGATTGAGAAAGTCTGTACTGTAAATAAATTCCATTTTGAATGATATTCAAACTAGAGGTAGAGGACGAGTTTCTGCTGTTGCAAGAATTGTTTGATCATTGTTTGCAGGTTCTGGATTTCAGACTCAAAACTGGCAGCCCAAACAAGAGACTCACATAAGTCTTTCTGCTTTGAAACTCAACTTTCAAACAAGTTCATTGTTCTGTAAAAAAAAAAACAAAAAAAAAAAACAGCAGGCCACTACTTGTTTTCACTTGTAGTGTTGACATTCCTTTTAACTTGCAAGACCAGTTTCACACAGACAACATAACTGCTTTCATTTTCTGTAACACCCTTTTAATAAGAGAAACATAGCACACAAAATATATTGTTTGTAAAAATCACAATATACATACATAACCATTTATGCAGTACAATATTGCACACTCAATGTTGTGTTTTGCAATTACACATTGTACACAGCATACAAATAAGAATACAATTGTACAGTGCAGTGAAAAATAAAACGTTTTGCATTGACTGATTCCTTTTATTCACAGTCAAGTATCAACATCTGGCGATATGTCTCTGGCTTCTGCACGGTAGCAACCACTTCTCCTGACAGATTGTCCAAGCGGCGTTGGGAGGATTGCGACAAACAATGTCCCTGACCTGGGACAATACACCAACATAATCCCTATAGGCAGTACAGTGGGACTGTGGATGGCACTCTCGCTTCCCAGCAAGAAGGTCATGGGTTTGAATCCTGTTCGGAAAAGGCCCCTTCTCAGACAGTACTTTGTTGAGCTTGGAAACGGTGTCAAGGGTCACCATATGACCTTCTCTGTTCAATCTTCTACATACTTTCGTTATGTCTATTCCTTCTTTGTATCCAAGAGATCAGTGAGTGGATACAAACTACTTTCTCTAACTACGGTCTCCAGTTCCTGTACTACGGTGACCACTGCTCCTGACAAGTTGTCCGAGTGGTATTTATGGATGGGTCAAACGTAGAGGACAGCAATCAAGCGGTTTAGGATTGTCAATCTCTATGGACAATGCTGTGGTTGCATTAATACAATCTGAGCTTGAAGCATAAATCCAGTTATTTAAAGTTCTTCCTGTCGATGTGCTGGATAGAACTCAGGATCAAAGCTGTTTTGACGCTCCATCATTTCCAACCACTGGTCATAGCTGTCTCTGTGGTGTTCTGGAGTGTTTGTGCCGTAGATGAAAGAGAGTAAATAATTTCTTATGTCAGGATACAAAGTGGAACTCTCGATAAAACGCTCAAACTGTTGGGTCAATTCTGGTCTTGGTGGAGGTGGAGGTGGAAGAGGCCGTCTTTTAACTAAAACAATAGAATAGCATTATACATTACTGCTGGATTGATTTGTTGAGGGTTTTTAAGTACTTACCGTATTTTAGACAAAATATAATTGCAATGCTTAAGCAGAGAAGGAGCGCAATAACAGCAATGAATCCAAAAATGGCTGGTAGAGTCTTTTCCCAAAAAGTGCGATAGATGTGTTGTCCATCAAGAGTATTTCCATCTGTAAAAAAAGGAAACCAAATAAGTACGTTGTTAAGGCAAAAGTTTCCCTTTAACAAGGTATCGTGAATAAAGTCTGTAAGAAATAATAAACAGTAAAATAACTTACTCCAGTACATTGAGATATTGAAGCCTTCCGATTGTACAGCACATCCGTAAGTGAGGTGGGTGTTACTGAGAGAGATCAGGGCTTTCAACCTAATGACCCAAGTATCAGCAGAATCAGAAGGGAGTGGACCAACGAGCGAAAAACCCCACACATGAGTTGCCCCATTGCCGATCAAAAACACCGTCTTCACCGTGGGGTCTGATGTGGTCAAGTGACAACAGAGGACAGCGTCATTGGTCGTTTGCAGAGGTTTGGCAAATACGTGGAGATCTATGGAAAGAGACAAAAACAGACGGTTTCACTTTTGATGAACCTTTGCTGGATATTACTATGAATGATGTACTCTTCATCAGTATGTAAGTGAAACACTGAAAATTAGAATATCATTAAAAAAGTCGGTTTTTAAATCAACTTACAATGTGAAGCTAATATAGGAAAGTCTAATAACATGCAAAGTGAGATATATCAAGGCTTTGTTCGTTATAATGATGATTATTGGCTCACAGCTGTAAAAACAGAAAATGGACAGTAAGCCATAATATTTAAAAATTATTAACAAACAAAAGCTTGGCGAATGTTTTTTTTGCTTGTGATGAGTCTATGTTGGTTTCACATTTCACATTTTGTTGAATTACTGAAATGATATAATAATAATATAAATCAAAACAGTATTCTAATATTCAGTGAGGCGAGTTTCACATGTATGTCGATCACCAATGCCACAATAAATACTATACGTTAACTCAATATTTATTGTCTGCACAATTTCTTTCCTTAATATTCATGTAAGATTTAGCACAATCTGACATCCCCAAGATGGACTCACGAAGACGTTATAACTCCTCCCTGAACCCTGCCCTTTACGAATGTCACCTGTTACTTTACTGCCCCTTTAAATTCAATCATGTTCAAGTAGTGTGTACTAATATATAGCAGTAATCTTAAGACATTTTATTACAGTGATTTTGTATTCCATATCTATTTTTACTTGTATAACTTGTTTGCCCCTTGAGCAAAAACACAAGGTATTTGAATGACACTCTCATTAGCGTACAATCCAAATGTTATAGTTTATTGCTCTATATTAAGCTTCAAAAATCCTTATTGTGTCCACTTGTACTCAGAACATGGAGAAACCTTTGGGAGCAATTAATCAAAATGCACACAACTGACAACTTCACCTGTTGATGGGTTGGACTTTAGAGTTATGAGTTCAATCATTTTGGTGCATTTAGTTATGAGGAAAACACTGTAGTCGTGGTTCTTCATCTGCTGTCCGTCCCATAGCTTTTTGATTGGTTCTGCTGAGAATGATTTAGCGGTCCATTTGTGAGTGTTACAGTCGAAATCCAAGAAGTCCATGCCATTCACAGCCCAAGACTCAAAAGAAATTATGTCGCCCTTAGAGGAGTGGCTGCACACACGCCTTCGCTGCACAACATCTGTAGAACAAATGTAAACATGATCCTTTAAAAACATCATTGTTATCAATGAAGGCAAAAAGATATGAGTATTTTTTTCAGAATATTGGACTGAAATAAACGAATAAACATACCCACTGTAGTATTGCTGTGTTCCTTAATGTTGAAGATGGCTTCTATTATATTATTATGGTCTTTTTCACAGTCGACATCAGCAAATGCAGCAGGGTTAAGACTTGTTTTGATATGTTCTTTTTTGGTCACATTGCAAAACAATACTGGAATATTATCATATTTAGTGATCTGCTCAAAAACAGGTGTGTCTTTGGATTTAAATCGTCCTGTAGACAAGAATTCCAAACGGTGTGGCGCTAAAGAAAAACAAAATAACAATAGATCAGGAACATTATTTTGCAGCTAGAACTACACATCTGAGAGCGTGGCCACATCACTTTTTGGTTCACTTCAACGAGTACAAATGCTTTGTTGTGGGCGTAAAACCAACAAACAAACAAGTGAACAGTCCACAGGTCACATAAGTCTGTTTACACATTTATAAACATACAGTATGTCACACCCTTTTCTTCCTCAAATGAAAGTGAAAGCAAGTTTAAAACTTTTTTCAAAGTTAGTAATTTTGCAAACATTAGAATATACATGAGTTGATTGATAAAAAAGTTAATAACCATCTCTGCAAGACCCTAACATAACACAAGACTAAAAGGAATAATAATAATAATTGAAAAGAATCAACTTACCACTAGATCCCAGTGCAACAACAAGATGTGACACAAACACTATTCTTAATAGCTGTCCATCCATTATTGCTCATCCTATTTTCAGGTTTGTTTAGAGAATAGAATCTGCTTCAGTTTTTTTTATCTAAATGCAGAACAGAACCGATGCACATTCAGACAGCATGTAAACAGGTCCCTCAAGTAAACGCCTAGTAAGTGCTTAGCCAATCAGAAGAAAAGGAATAGGATATGGAGTGATAGTGGAGTGATGCCTTTGGTATGGAAAGTACCAAGGGTGGTAACATTTAAACATCAGAATCAGAATCAGAATCATCAGAATCCTTTTTATTGCCACGTAAGTAACACAGTTACCACTTGGAAATTGTTTTGGCAGGCGTGCCACTTTGCCATTTGCGGC